AGCCTGGACTAGAAAAGTAGTTGACTGCTGTAAGTGGAGCTTAACAGGTCATTCTAGTAGGGGCCTGGCAGAAAGTAGTGCTGAGAACAATGTAGTTCCAGAGGGAAATAAGGACTTAAGCAGCACTTGGGATATTTTGGCAAAGAGTCTGGCTGGAGTCTGCCCTCAACCTAAAAGCTTGCCTGAGGCTAAGTTTAAAAGTAATGGACTAATTTATTTGGCAGAAGAAATTTCAAGACAGCCTAATGTAGAAACAGTGGCACGGCTATTAATGGTGAATATTATGCAGATCTACAGTGAAAGAGAGCAAAGGGACAGAAAGAAACACAGTTTGGAGTGCAAAAGAGCACTAGGAAGATAAATGTTGGTGCCCTGGCATGTGATAGAGAGAATCCCATTGATAAAGAGATTAAAGTGATTAAGGAGGAGCCTAGAGATTCAAACTTAAGCAATGGAGAGAGTACCTCCAGGGCAAGACCACACCCAGTTAAGCCTCCAACTTGTGAAAGGAAAATGCTGCAGGGACCACTGAAGAGAAAACCTTCAAAAATGGATGAAGCAGGCTGAAGTCCATCAAAAACTTGCAGTCAAACTTGACAGTGTAGTTTACCTGGTACTGGCTTTAGAGGCATGAAAGATGCAGGAATGAAGAAGTCAGCAATTCTTCCTCCATGGTTTCAGAGCGCCTCAGAGGCCAGTCAGCCTGCAGTAGGGGTTCCTCTGCCTAGAGAAGGCCCTGATAGGCCATTGTGTGAAGCTGTGAAGGTAAAGCCTGGTTTGCAATGGAGACCCCAAGAAGTTCATGATGCCAGAGCTGTGAGGCATCTGCCAAGAAGACCTGCACACAGGGAGTGGTACAGCCCAAGAGAGAGATGTATGTTGCATGCAGCAAAACTGGAGAGGTTGAGCCATCTAAGCCCTTTGGAAGTAAATTCCCAGAAGTCAGACATGGAGCTACTAGATTTGGTGTTTGTCCTGCTAGTTTTCAGTCTTGTTTTGGTCTGGTATTTCCTTACTAGGCCTCCATTCCTCCCTTTTGGAATGGTAATGTGTATTTGGTTCCACTGTATATTGGGAGTATGTAATTTGTCTTTTGATTTTATAGAGGCTTACAGTTCAGATATTTACCTGAGTCTCAGAACGGACTTTGGACTGTGGACTTTTGAATAGTATTCAAACTGATAATGACTATGGGGATTTTTAAAGTTGGACTAAATGCATTTTGCATTTTATATGGTCATGAGCCTATGGGGGCCGGGGGTGGAATGAAAATATCCCCATAGGCTCCAAGTATTTGGACATTTTGTCCCCACATGGTGGCATTGTTTTGGGAGATTTTAGAAGGTGTGGTTATGCTGGAGGAAGCATGTCACTAGGGGTGGGCTTAGAGAATTCTTAAGCCTTGCCGGATTGCCAGTTGCTCTCTTGCTTCCTGTGCCTGTATGATGATGTGAGAGCTTAGCTTCTGATGCTCCTGCTCCAGCCACCTCTGCTGCCATGCCTCCCTGCCATGATGGACTGCACATGGAATCATAAGCTCAAATAAATTCTTCCTTCATAAACTGTTTTGGTCAGTGTTTCTATCACAGCAACAGAAAAGTGACTAATACAGGTACTAATGGGGCTGGAGAGATGGCTCAGTGGTTAAGAGCACTGACTGCTCTTGTAGAGGACCCAGGTTTGAGTCCCAGCACCCACATGGCAGCTACAAACTGTCCTTAACTCCAGTTTCAGGGGAATCCGAAGCCCTCTTCTGACCTCCGTGGCATTGCACAACACGGGTACACTCACATACATGCAGACAATACACTCATATACATAAAAATAATAAAATATTTTTAAGAAAAGAATAAGTTACTAGTGTCAAGAATAATAATAGGATGAGGTTTTTTTTTTTTTTTTTGTTTTTTTTTGAACATGTTCT